AAGAACGTCGGCCTCCTCGGCTGTGAACGTTTCTGGCGCGCACCTTGTAAAGCCGCCATTGTAATAACAATCCGCCATGCAACATGCGCACTTGCTCCGGTATTTAACACCTTGAGTCTATTTTGTAGTTTGTTTTGAATGAAATAGAGTGGTGGACTTAGAAATTTTGACAATGGGTCCTGTCTCGACTTTTTGACTTTTAGAATCGCCTGTGACGGCGTTAGACTGGCTGTCTATGGGCATGCACAAACATGTCCATAAAACAACTCTTAAGGTTCATTTTCAAAACTCTGCAACTCATCGAGTGGTTGGTGGTGTTCCTTGATGTTCCGAAACAAGTAGCGTAGCCAAATACCGTTTCTGTCGTGTTTTATTTGTCATTTTTTAAAAACGCATTGATGTCTGCTGGAGGACTCAGTGCTCGTTGATATTACTGCGCTAGGTAGGAAACCGGAAAGGGGTCTGTTTACATTTGGTTGTAGTCTTTTCGCTCGGTTCTCCGTCTTGCCATATTCGACTGTGTCTGTGACTTTTTTTACGGTGCGCTAGACACCGTGTTCCATACAGCGTACTGGTTGTCGCCATCAAGTGGTCGGGAGTGTGCTAACGCTTCAGACTCAAATATCGAGTGGAAGTTTATACGCGGTTGTGGGGTGTCTGAAAAAATAGTTCCACTAAAGCAAACAACACGGATTGAAAGCATACACTGCGCCGATATATTTGTTTTCAATCATCAACGAACACCACCAACCACTCGGTGAGTTGCACAGTTTTGAAAATGAACGTTAAGGGTTGTTTTAAGGACATGTGCATGCATGCCCATAGACACCCAGTCTAACGCTGTCACAGGCGATTCTAAAATAGTCAAAAAGTCGAGACAGGACCCATTGTCGAAATTTCTAAGTCCACAACTCTATTTCATTCAAAACAAACTACAAAATAGACTCAAGGTGTTAAATACTGGAATTATCCTTTAAAGGCTATGTTGGATGACGCTCTGATTGGTTTACTTCACGTTATGCCCAAACCACACCTATGAATAATGAAGCTATTTCAGACCAACCCAGTGTTGCCAGATGTACGATAATTATCGTATTTGTACGATAATTTTGACCTCTGTACGATGTACGATCAATAATGAAAAAAATCCCATAATGTACGATAATTTCAGATTTTTGTGATCGGAGGTCATAATCATAGTGCTTCTATACACATTGATCTAGCTGTTGATCTACGTCATGCTCGTGAGGAGAAAATGAAGGTGAGAGAGCAGGGTAGAGAGGGAGAGACTGTCTATGGGACAGTCTATGTGCGTCTCCCCCGCCCCCGTCATCAATCCAGTCAACTCTCGGCAACGCGTCATAGTTGGGGGCGTGGTCGGCGTGGGGGAAAGCAGCGCGACCACCATCGTATGTATTTTGAATGACAAAAATGTCATATTACGAGTCATTCCCAGATAGCAAACTGACATTGAATCAACGTGGAAATATGACATCGAAACAACGTTGATCTGACATTGTTTTGCTCATCGAATTAACATTGAACCAACGTCAGACGCGTCATTCTTTCAAAACTAACGGAAAATCAACTTGAAATCAACGCGTTGTTTCAACGTTATGAAAGCAAACCAATTTTCGATTTTTATTTAGCTTTGAAGAATGCCGCGTCTGACGTTGGTTCAACGTTAATTTGATGAGCAAAATCAACGTTGTTTCAATGTCATGAGAGACGTCGTTTCCACGTTGATTCAATGTCAGTTTGCTGTCTGGGTTGACGGCTGCCGACCGGCAACGGTACATTGCAAAATGAACTGTAGGTTATGATTGCCCTTATTTAATTAAAAACTGGGTCAATGACCCACCAAATGGCCGGAGGTGTAGTTTCCAGACTATTGTTATCTGGTTGAATCTCCAGGTAAGTTGATATAAGTTACTATAAGTCCATAAAAACCTTGTCACTTAACAATGTACGTAAGCTTCACTCCAAACTATTAATCCTTTTGTAAAACGGTGATCAGTAGTAACTTCGAAGTTGCCGAGGGGTTTTGCTGACAGTTATCCGAATTCTCACAGTCTGCACTCTCACTCTGTATTGAGCTGATAACCATAAGCTGATAACGCTAATGTGAATGAGACATTCCTCAGGAAAAACGAATCTTGAAGTATTTTAGGACAAAATATTATAATAACGTTATTTCTATAGGAATACTATAGTATTTTACAGAGGTAGCTATTACAGAACATCATAGAAGTATTATAGAATATTATAGATATATAATATTCTATCTATAATATTTAATATTATAGATATTATAATATAGATTATAATATATTATAGATACCCCCCCCCCCCGTTTGACGCGTGTACGATCATTTTCTTCCAAATACGATAATTTTGAGCTTCTCGTACGATACTTTGATATTTTCAATCTGGCAACACTGGACCAACCCCTTTAAAACTTGCCTTGTTTATCCCGCTGGTTAAATTAGCAACAGCACCGAGATCCGCCCAAAAAGTTGCGCTTCGCGCTTGATACTTGAGTTTCAGAACGTTAAAATAGGGCCCACAGTGCGGACAAACATATGTGTTCACTTCAAACCCCTTATAAAAATTTAATTTAGCATAATAGGCCCTCTTTAAAGCTGAAGTGTCTGCTAAAAATAACTGTTTTCAAACAGGTTTCCCTAACCAAACCTGAGACCTTTTCATATGTATTCATTTATTTATTTCTGCATGTATCATAACATTTAGTTGTCTTTTGTTATTGTTTTCTTAGCGAGTCCTGTAAAAGCCTCCAGTTGACATGGAAAGATGTTTATATGGAATATGGATGGATGTACATACAGTAGGTAGCCACTAATGCCCTCCAACAAGTAATTAGACTTGTGAAGGAAACTTTGGAAATCATCGCTGACGTTCCCCAGAGACTCTGGCGTTTTGAACTGCTGTGTAGGTAGACTCGTGTTTATCCTGGATAGGATTCTTGATTAAAATGGCAGAGAGTAAGAAATTGGCTGAGTTTGCAGTGGTTAGGCCACCAGACTAAAATATCTTCTTTAGCAAAATAATGTTGTTTCGATGTTTCTTGACCCTTTTTTTCATCTTTCGTTCAAAAATTTTGATTTAATTTCAGTTCGAGGAGTTATTTTTAATGCATGTTGTACTTGTAAGAGAGCCATTCGATATTAAACATCCCCCCCATCCCCATCCTACACTGAGGGCGATTTTTATTTTCCTTCCAAGCTGCAACTCCAAAAACAGTCGAGCAGACACCACAAGAAAGGCCCTCTAGGTCACTGGAAGATGTAGACTCACCATTGGACGGCAAAAGAAAAATATCTACTTTCATTCAAATTATACCTTACAGACCATACCGAACAATTCACATCAAATATAAACATCCTTTTGGAAATATAACTTCACGTATCGAGTTGCTCTCTCCTTGGATGCGCCGTTGACTTTCTAGAGGGTGAACGGTATTTTACGAGTCTCTCTCCTGTAATACGGTGGATCATCCCCACCTTCAACGATGCCCAATATTTGTAGTTGTAGCTCCTGCCAACAGGAACTGCTTGCAAGTGGTGTTTGTTTCCTATAAAAGCATGTTAATTCAGAGGCGGCCACAGTGTAAACTAGCCTGGCGTTTTACAGATGTAGCCTGTTAAAGTAAATCACTGTACCTGCCTGTTCGTTTCATATGGCTAAGGCAGGACATCGAGCCAAGTCTTAACGTGCGTGTATATATATATATGATCTCTGTTATTGCAAATGTATTTTTAACATTTTGAAAACATTCTGCCTGCCAAATTTGTCCTTCATTATGTGGTGTTCATTTGGAGATTCTTAAATATTACATCTAAAATGAATTGTCTTGAATGATTCGGTTGGGGGAAAAAATCAATCAAATTACAAATTCAGTGTTAATTCACGCATTGCATAAAATAGAGAAAGCGGTGCAGTTAATTATTATTTAAAAAAACAATATTTGTAAATATATTTATATTTCATTTTTTGTTTATTTTATGACATTTTTGTCATTTTTTCTTCAGTCATTGATGAGGATGTACACTACCGTAAGGAATTAATGCTTTTATTCATCAAGGATGCGTTCAATTTATCAAAAGTGACAAAGACATTTATAAAGTTTCAACAGATTTCTATTTAATAGTAAATGCTGTATTCATCAAGAATCCTGTAATAAGAAGAAATATTTCTTGAGCAGCAAATTAGCATATTACAATGGTTTCTAAAGAATCATGTGACACTAAAGACTGGAGTAATGATGCTGAAAATTCACAGAGATGCATTACATTTTAAAATATACTGAAATAGAAAACAGTTATTTTAAATTGTAATAATATTTCACAATATTACCGGGTTTTTTTTTACCGTATTTTTGATCATGCCACCTTGGTGAGCATAAAACAAAAAACAGTAATGTGCAATAGTGTACATAAATTTATGATCATTTATTTACAATACATCAGATGGTAATATCGGACGCCTTTATACTACCAAACCACCACATTGTCATATTTAGATGCCTTGAGTTGAGACACACTGCTAATATTTCAATTGGTGTGATGCATTTGTGATGTGGGTGTGAACATAGAAAAAATATTTACACTAGAATCGGTAATTAGCTTTGAGCCGCAGGGTATTCCAAGATAATGTTTATTGCTTTTCATAATTAACATAGAGAGCAAAAACAAGCCATAAATTAAACTGTAGGGTGCGTTTCACTTTCTGAAGCATTTAAATCTTCAGTTAAACGTTTTTTTTTCCCCCATATGTCACATTATTATATAGCGACGTTACCAAATTATATTCAGAGATATAACCACAGCTATTCAGTTATGTTTAACTAGTTACTCCCCTCACTATGTGTTCAACTAGGTTCAACTTGAAATAAAATATGTAAAACATTCCGTGCGTTCCAAACTTTCGATACATTCTAACGACAGCATTCTTTATCTGTTTAAACAAATACCCACAAGCAGGATCAGAAAGCAGCCCAGAGCCTCTGCCAGGCAAACGTCTGCGTGCCGTGTGAAACCGGTGAGTCACCGAGCGTGATAGTGGTTTGTCACATGTTTGGGAGGCATCTCTTCATCACACACCCGGTTGTCAGGTACAGAATAATCTATTGCCTCTTACAGGAATTGCTCATTTGGAGAACAGAGAGGCCGACTCGTTCACACACGCATACTGAGATAGATGCAGCGTACCCAGGCATGTGTCGTGCCTTTATGAGCAAGAAACTGAAAGAAGAGAAGAGCCTCCACATTATTTATCTTTATTTTATTGGTAAGGTCTTGCATACTTAATGTTGTAACTATGCACTAGCAATACATTTGTTACTGTATTTAGTCATCTAAATGTTCAATTTATTAAGTGTGTACACTACCTTTTATGGAGTCAGTTTGGAGTTCATGAAAATGAATCCAAAGTGACAGTAAAGACATTTATAATGTTACAAAAGATTTTTATTTCAAGTGAATGCTGTTCTGAACTTTCTATTCATTATTATCTATTAACCATATACCTGAAGAATCAGTATTAATAAATTATACAAAACATACATATTTATACAATTGCACATACATTTTTTTTACATAATGTTAACAAAATTTACGTACTAACTGAATAATCATTAACAATTTTCTTTTTTAATGCTCTTTTAAAGCTAATCAGAAGTACAAATCAGCATTTTAAATTATAACAAAAACAGTATACATTCAAGCAGTACTGCACATGCATTTTTTTTTACATAATATTAACAAAATACTACATACATACTAACTGAATACTCATTAACAATTTTCTTATATCATGATTATACCAATATAATATTCGTTACTGTATTTAACATTAGTTAGTTGACTTTGTTGTTCGTGTTCGTTCACGATGCATTAATGTTAACAAATACAACTGCAACTAAATGTTGCATTAACTAATATTAATAAAACTGTACACTGTAAAAAACAATATTTTCATGATTTGCAATCACAACATTTTTTCTTTAGTAAAATCAACTTAAATAATTTATGTGCACTCTAAAAATTGCTGGGTTGTTTTAACCCAACTTTGGGTCAAATATAAACAAACCCAGCCATTGGGTTACATTTTTTAATTACATTTTTAACCCTTCGCTTGGGTTTGTCCATATTTGACCCAAAGTTGGGTTAAAACAACCCAGCATTTTTAGAGTGTAGTTCAGATAACATAATATTTTGACTTTCTGATGATTAAATCAATCTCCTTCATTGTATTAACTCACTTTTATCATTTCAATGAACTTAAAAATTTAAGGCAGCCAGGTTACTTCATTTTTTAAGTTAAACCAACAATATTGTTTGGTAACGCTTCCTTTTACAGTCCAGTTACCCATGTAAATACTATGTACTTATTTTAGTAACTACAATTACTGGGTAATAACTAGTACTAACCCCTGTTCCATGTACTTACCTAATATTAGCCAGTACTTTCTAGGTAAGTACACTGTAAGTACTGTACTGTAAAAGGAAGCGTTACCTATTGTTTTTTACAGTGTAGATTGTATTGTTATTTCTTGCTTCATGTTAACACATTAGCTAATGTTAACAAATTATACATTATTGTAAAGTGATACCGAAGAACACTGAGAATCAAATCGACACTGAAGACTGGAGTGAGGATGCTGAAGATTCAGCTTTGAATAAATGACATTTTAAAATATTCAAATACAGAAACAACTATTTCAAGTGTGTTACTGTTTTTGACGTATCAAATAAAGGCAGCCGTGGTGAGCATAAGACACTCCTCTTACAGACCCCAAGCTTTTGAATGGTCGTGTGTGTTACTGTAGTTCAAAAAGTGTCACATTCAGATTCATTCAGTTCTTCTACACTAATCATCTATCCTCACATCACCTCAGGGTCAGCAGAGACGGCTAAGACGGATGGAGAGGTAGAAAGAGAGCAGGAGGGAAAGAAGAGCGCACACATGTGCGGGGAGAAGGCTGAGCGTTCACTCATGACTCATGAGTAGCAGCATCACACCCACCCCTTCCCTCTCCGGAGAACCACGCGTCGTCTTCACAAGGAAAACAGAGGAAGGGAGCAAAGAGAGTTGGCCCGCACGACTCGGGTGATGTCACGAGCATGTGACCCTGCTTCTCCAGTGACAGTGTTCTGAGGGAATGAAAAAAGATTTTTTAAAGGCTCGTGCCTCTTTGGGTTTGTGTGAAGGCTCCGCTCACATCCCGAGCAACCACAGAACCGCAGAAAAGTTCGTCTCTGGATTTTTGCATGGGGCGTAAATGGTTAATTGTCACCGGTCAACTTCAGGTTTGAGGACCGCACCAACCAGTAAGTACTCTTCAACCAACCGCACTATCCTCTGCAGCAAGCTTGGCTCCGTCCTGTCCAATAGGGCGACAGATTTTTGCATTTTTTTCCCCCTAAACCAGACCTGGTTATTACTTGTGGTCATGCAAATAGTTGATACAAAAACGCATTTCTTGTGGATGTTTTTTTTTTTCCTTTTTTGCATCTTCCCCTGGCACGCCGCACGCTCCTAACCCAAGAGGCGTCAAGGGTCACCCAAAAAACCACAGAGAAGCGAAATTTGGGACCGACGGTGGCGACCATGGCATCCAACAGCCTCTTTAGTTCTATGACCCCGTGTCAGCAGAACTTCTTCTGGGGTAAGTGCCCTGTTCTTGACCGTATAATAAGGAACTGCGTTTTGAAAAGCAACAATCATGTGTTGATGTTTACAAACATTCGGCTAGGCCAGCCAACTGTCGTATAGGGAAGCTCGGGGCGCTGAAGTGTCATTGGAAACGTAATGCAGGCTTTTTGGGAAGAGTATAAAAGCAAATAAGTGAATGTTTGACATTGACTGTTAGGTTAGTGGGTGTGTACGCTGAAAGTCCAGAAGGGTTACAGATGAGAAAGTCACTGTAAAGTTGAGAAATGTGGTAGATATTCTTTGCAAAAGGTATTTAATTAAGTAAGCATCTTTCTTAGACTGTCTGGCTGTGGGTATATGTGAAGAGGTGCCATTTGAAATTTTCTTCTTTTATCAAGCTTGTATATTTAAGTTCAGTAATTTCACTTAAATGGCAATTCATAGGTAATCTTCATTGTCATTTAAGTGAAATTACTGAACTTAAATATATAAGCTTGATAAAAATGATCATTTTAGAAGAAAATTTCAAATGGCACTTAGAGGCTTTTGCATCTGAACTCTTCATGTATATATATTTATGTATATGTGGGTATATATTGGAATAAATTCTAGTGTCATTTTATAATTTATTCCGTCTGTTGACACCTGGTTGCTGAGACGAAATATACAAAAATAGTGTCTGAAATTGTAGAAAATGTCCAAACATTATTAAATGCACAAGAATAACAGGCAAGCACAAATCCATATTGTGCGTTAAGAAATATGACTTTCCCATGTCACAGAGAAGTAAGAGAGCCCATTCATTCTGATCTATGGGTTTTGCCGATTCCTCCAAGAGAAATGTTGTAAAGCCGTTTTGGAGTGTGAATGTCTGCTTTCCAAACACAGCTGTGCGGAGGCATGCTCCTTCAGCACGCGTGCTACTCTGGCACCAGAGACACTTGCAGCAATCAGAGCCCCATTAGCATGTTAACCTCTGACCCATGCTCTCTGGGGTGAGAGGAGATCAGGATGAGAACGGGACGGGGGGAAAGTTTGTCTTGATTGTGGCTAGTGCAGATATGTACATGCACAGTAAAAGACCACATGTATGTGGATTTAGTTTATGCACAGAGAGTTTTTAAATAGCTATATTTTGCATCAAGGCAACATTTTAGATTTGTCTTTATGATTTAAAAACTGTTTAGCTTGAAATTGCCTTCATGGAAGAGGTTACTCCTGTGTGAGTTGTTAGAGACCTCATTGTCAAAGTTATTTTATATGTTTTGTGCAATGTGTCTTCTGTTTTGCTTTCTAAAAGTATAAGTTGGCTTTGTGACAAAAAATTAATTATATTTTATATGTTATCTGCTTAATTGATTTTGATCACACTGTAAAAATATTTTCAAGATTTGTTATCACAACATATTTTCTTTTGTCAAATCAACTTTATAATAATTTATTTAGTTGAGATAACTTATTATTTTGACTTTCTGATGATTAAATTAATCTCCTTCTCTGCATTAACTCTTTTCCTCTAACTTTTTCCAGTTCAATCAACTTAAAATTAAGGCAACACAGGTTACTTACTTTTTTAAGTTAAACCAAAACTATTTTTTTTACAGTTTAGTAATCACAACATTTTTTCTTTTTTCAAATCAACTTAAATAATTTATTTAGTTCAGATAACATAGAATTTTGAGTTTCTGATGATGAAATCATTCTCCTTCATTGTATTAACTCACTTTCTCCAGTTCAATGAACTTAAAATTTTAAGGCAACCAGGTTACTTACTTTTTTAAGTTAAACCATCAATATTTTTTTACAGTGCAGTTTAGATGAACATGTTATTTAAATAGTTTGACGGGGAACACCGTAATAAATATTTTCATGGTTTGTAATCACAACATTTTTTCTTTTGTCAAATCAACTTAAATAATTTATGTAGTTCAGATGACATAATATTTTGAGTTTCTGATCAATCTCCTTCAACTCAATTTTTCCAGTTCAATGAACTTAAAATTTGAAGGCAACCAGGTTACTTCATTTTTTAGGTTAAACCAACAATATTTTTTACAGTGAAAGGGGGGGGGGGTAATTTTATGAATAAATAAAAGTAAACTATTGCTCTTTTACACATAAGGTCTCTGTAAAGTTTAAACTAGTTGTGTGTGGTAGACAAGGGTGCTGAATTTTCATCAGTTTGACTTGCATTTTATATAATTTATATAAAACTCACTCTAAAAAATGTTTTTGCATGACTGTAATTCATCAAAATAAGTTTTCAACTTAATATGTTATATAAGATGCAGCAAACATCTTAAACATCCAAGTTGATTGAACTTTTTTACAGTGCTAAGAGTTTTTAACTTTTCAAATTAGTGTGCACTGATAGATGTCATGACCAGTAAAGAAAAAAAAAAAAAGAAACCAGACCCTAACAGACACATTAAATTTCATTCAGGCTCCACTATTGAGAGATTTGGATTTAATTAAGTAGAAAACATTCTCTGTAACGCTGCCTAATGGCAGATGGGTGTGGAGTAATTGTCTACATGTGTGGCATGAGACAGACTCGCTAGGTTTCTCCAGGGCATATTTTGTCGCTCGTTATCAAAATCGAGCTACAGTATTGACAATTATCCCATGGTAGCAATTATCATAGCGAGAATGCGAGACATTTTCAAAATAGAAAAGATTGATGAAAGAAAGAAGACAGTCGAGCGTCTCAAAGTCGTTCCAGAGAACCCCAAATAATTTGAGACGAGTATTAAAAGGCAGCTTCTGTTGCACGCGTCGTCTGCTCAGATCCCACCGCCCCGCCGTCATTCCTGAGACATCTTAAAAGCGAACCAGACTTGCGTTTTCCGAAGCAGTGCCAGAGCAGGGAAGCCCTCTCATCAATAGGTAATTGAAGCGAGGGGAAAATCTCTGACCCTGAGCTGCAGGGAGAGGATCATCTAAAAATATCATCAAAGCCATATTCATTTAGCGCTGTTTAATTGTAGCTGGCGAGCAAACATGTCATTTCGACTGCAATTTTTAGATATTGAATGGTCCTTGGGGTGCATTCATTCACTAATAGCACACTACGCCTTTTGTTGAAAGGACTTTGAGGCTACAGTCTCGTCCTTCACTGTTGCCCAATAAAACAACATCAATTATACAGTCAAATTTAGAGATTGATATTATATATTGTATTAAAATAACCATACTGATAAATAATTTGTATATGTTAATTGTTTTTGTTATGTAATTTTATCTTGTCATGTGATTGTGTTTATGTAGGACTACAGATGGAAATTAGCATAGTTCTAAATCTGGTGCAGCCATCTTTTCAATGTAACTGCATACTGTCAGAGATGTATAGTAATGAAGTAGAACTACTTAAGTACTGCACTTAAGGACTAAAATGCTGTGTCTGTACTCTACTAGAGTATTGTTTTTTTCTCATACTTCTACTTTTACTTCAGTAGATATTTTCGATGAATTTAATACTTTTACTTCGATATTTTTTTTAATGTTCTGCTAGTTAATCGTTACAATTATGTTGTAGTTAAGTTGCAAGTTGGCTTTCATGCTGCCTAAATCACACGCCAGTTTTATAGGGTAATGGTATTGATTGACTCAAACATTGACAACTAATGCAGGGGTTGTCCTGCAATGCCGCCAAAGCATGTAATAATTACATGACACAATACTTGTACTTTTACTTTTAGTACTTAAGTAGTGAATTTTAAAATAAACTACCTGCAATACTTAAGTACAAAAAATGTTGAATACTTTAGTACTTCTACTTAAGTGTGGTGCTTAAAGAGCACTTCAACTTCTACTCAAGTCACTTTTTTGATAGAGCACTTGTACTTTTACTCAAGTCCGGGTTTTTTGTACTTTATACATCTCTGCACACTGTCCTGTTATAAATAAAATAAACAAACAAACAGGGACAAATATCATTACAATTATGAAAAGTGAGGCTGGTTTGCTTTTGAGGTGTCATATGACAGCCAGAGGTAAGATTTGAGCAGTTGACATTGTTTTAATATATATTTATTTATTGCTCTTCCTGTCTCAATAAATCGTAATTTAAACGAATATCCTATTGATCTATATTTTTGTGTCGCTTACTTTCTCACTAAATGATAACCTATAAAATTATTGTACATATGAAATGATTCAAAAGCATAGCCAGACGCACACAATGAATGTGATCTCTTTTTTTATTATCATCTGTCTGTTTTATTGTGTAATGTGCCTTGAGAAGCTGCGTTATTTAAAATAGTAGGAAATGTAACGTTAGGTTTTTCTGAAATAAAAATAAATAATGAATTAGATAGATAAATAATAAATAAAGCCTTTTAAATTTTGATTAAAGAGTTACTCTACACGTCGGATGGGATGCGTTGTATTGTCCGACACCGGCCTTTGATCAATCCGACGAAGCTTTTCGGAACTGACGAATGAGAAAAGGAAGAGGTAATTTGATTAACGCACTTAGTCATACAGTTGAAGAGCATGAAACCGATCCCTTTTGTCACGGTCAGGGCATATGCACAGACTGAGCGGCCGGAAATGAAAAAGGTCACGATGCGACAGGTACCATCTCTTAATTTGGTTCTGTTACCAGCCCACACACCCCCTTAAGGATAGAGGTGTTAAATGGATCAGTTGCACACCTGAAGAGTAGTTGGTTGGCAGTGGGACTCTAACAAGCCTAATGCTGTAATCTGAGCGGGCCGGTGACACGTACAGGAAGAAGTAAAAAAAAGCCAGGGATCACCTTGCGCCTCTGAGCTGGTGCAGTAGTATGTCACAAGAGACAAACGGCACCCATCTGCTTCGGTGGTGTCTTCATCACCCTCGTCTTGTTTCCTCCCACACGTTTAAACGCGATAGCTCAATCACACTCGGCACAAAAGGGCCCTATCCGTTGTAAAACCCCCTCGAATCACTGACATGCCACCTGCGCTGCGTCCTGCGCAGGACACAAAGGTTTCTGGGAGGCGTTCCCGCCCACGGCGGCCCACACACGCT